CTGGTACCAGAAAAGAAAAGAAACCCACTTCAAAGGGAATTTACTGGCTCACGAAATTGGCAAGTCCATAGGAAGGACTTCAGGTACAGCTGGATCCAGGGGCACAAATACCTCATCAAGAATGTCTTTCCAGTGTTGGAGGTGTAGCCCAGGCAGAGTGTTTGCTTCGATTCCAGGACCATAACATAAAGGGGGATTTCTGTCTGCCTCTGTCCCCTCTGAAGCTCTCTCTCTTTCTTAGGCAGGCCTGTCCCTTACAGCTGTGCCACTGGCTCCCAAGCATCATGGGCACATCGCCAGCTAAGCCATCCCGGTGGACAGCTCACACTTCCTTCCCAACTGTCCCAGGAAGTCTCCTGGCAGACACACTGGGCCACACATGTGACCCCGCTTTGATGCATCGCTATTTATAGTGATAGATTCCTGACCATATGCCCACCTCTGGAGGTTGAGGGCATCAACCCCTTGGGATGGAAGCGGTAATGGAAGTGGTTACTGTCCTCAGAAGGGTGCCAGGTGCTGGGCATTCAGAAATAACAGATGCCTCCCACAGCAGGGAATGTGAGAAGAATATGTGAACCCCCTGGTACCAGAAAGACAGTTGCACAGGTTGTGCACTGCATGTGTCTAGGGGGTTCCATTTACATTCGCTGTCACTGTGTGTTTATGTATTTACCGTGACAAATCTCTAACAGATGCCACTTCAATGTCATAGGAAGGAAAGTGTGATAGATTGAAAAACAAGGCCATGGTATTTTGCAACTCTTCCCAGCAAGGACAGTGTATTTCCTCACACATGGTCTGGGCTGGCCCCGTGACAGATGTGGAAACCCTGACGAACAGAATGAAGCAGCAGAGGGGATGCAGTGGACATGAGGCCTGGTCTTAAGTGGCCGGGCTTCCCTGCTGACCTGCAGCCCAAGGCCAGCACAACTGAGGCACCCACCCACGGGAGGGGAGCCCACGAGGGTGCTGGGCCGCAGGCTGTGTCCAGGCCACGCTGAGACTCAGTTTCCCTAAACTCCCTCCCTGTGGCTCCAAGTCCAGGTGGAGCACAGGAGGATGTGTGCAGGGTCTGGAGACGGAAGTGACACTGCAGCCATGGCTCCAGGAAGGTCCAGGTGTCGCTGTGATGGTGGCGCCCGCTGCCACCAGATCCTCCACCCAGGGGAGGATCTGGGAGAGCCAGCCTGGGCAGGACTCCGAGGACGCCCTGGCCTCCTGCACTGTGAGCTGAGGAATGAGAGAGGGAAGCCTATCAGGGCGGCAGAGCGGCCTGTAGTCCCCGCACTATGGGACGCTGAGGCAGGAGGATCACAATTAGATTCTGTGTCTAAATGTTAAAAACGGTTGGAGTATAGCTCAGTGAGAAGGCCCTGGGTTCAATCCCCAATGCTGGGGTGGGGGGCAGAATATGTAGGGCAGTGGTACAGTGCTTGCCCAGCATGTGTGAGGCCTTGGGTTTGATCCCCAGGACTGGAAGGAGGGAAGGAGGGAAGGAGGGAAGGAATCTTCTACTTCAAGCCTCATTCATGTAATGAACAACAAGCTCTTGCCACCTGCCCGCGCTGGGGACAGAGAGAGCCCTGACCAGGGAGCCTCCCAGAGGGTTCCAATTGTATCTCCAAGACAAAAGCAGTTACCTAACTCTTCAGACCTTTTTTTTTTCTTTTGGGTACCGGGGATCGAACGCAGGACCTTGCCCTTTCGAGGCAGGCGGCAGAACCACTGAGCTAAATCCCTGGCCCCAGACCTTCTAATAGTCCTGATGGTCCCATGAGGCAGGAAATGTCATCCCCCACTTCTCCCTCAAGGGAATGGGCACAGAGAGGGTGGGTGGCCTGCTGAAGGTCACATGAGACTCAGCAGCAGAGGTAGGATGGACTGATTCACTGAGGAGTGAACCCAGGGCCTTTGCACTGAGCTACATCCCCAGCCCTTTATTATTTTTATTTTGTTTTCTTTTGGGACAGGGTCTTGCTAAATTGCCCAGGCTGGGTTTGAATTTAGGATCCTCCTGCCTCAGCTTCCCGGAGTGCTGAGATTACAGGCATGGGCCACCATGCTCAGTGTAGAGGTAGGATTTAGAGCTGGGAGCTGAGTCCAGAGCCTGTGGGACTCAGTGACCACCTCAGGATTGGCCATGTGACCAAACCCAGCTAATTAGACTCATCCCCAAGAGGCCCCTGGAGCTCCTGAATGAGCATTCTGCCCCTGACAGGTGGGACGGGATAGAGGAGTTTGGAGGAAGGGTCCTGGCGGGATGTGGCTCAGCTGGAGCCTGCCGTGGGGAGGAGAGTCTGAGGGTCCTATCCTCCAGGAGCCCCTCCAGGTCCCCACGAGGGTCAGCAGCCGGCCCTGCTTGTCCCTGATGATGCCCCAGGGGTGGCGTTCGTCCCCAGGCTGCAGCCAGACGTGAGGGTCCCCGAGGCCTGGAGTGCAGTGGGTGACGGGGAAGCCGAGGCTGGGCTGGAACTCTGCATCTAGCCCTCCACCAGGGCGCTCGTGGGAGTCAATCGGGCTTCCCACCTCCCCAGCCTCAGTTCGGACATGGAAGGGCGCCCCACCTGGGTGGTGGTGGGTTGGGTGTCCTCCTCCTATCGCCCTCCTCCCTGGCCACCCCGCCCCATTCCCTCCTTGGTCACTTGCCTCTGCACAAGACCTGGCAGCCTTCAGGACAGCCCTCAGCTGGACTGGCTTGGTGTCCACATTGCCAGGCACGGTGTCTGGCCCGGAAAGATGCTCAGGGAGCAGGTGGGCAGGAATTTGGTATGGCAGGCGAGTGGGTGGGCGGCCGCTGCCTCTGCAGGGGCTGTCGAATGCCGACAGCAACTGTACCCAATGGTGTCATGCCAAGCACGGTGCCCAGATGGTGACACTGTCCTTCAACCTGATTGGTGAAGGGCTTGTGACAACCAAACATTCCCAGATTGACTGACTGATTTGAAGAACTGGGGACTGAACCCAGGACCTTTGTATTTCTTATTTTTGTTGTTGTTTTTGGTTTTGGTACTGGGGATAGAACTCAGGACCTTGAGTTTGAGAGGCAGGTGGTGGCACCACTGAGCTAAATCCCCAGTCGTGTATTTCTTTCTTTTCTTTTTTTTTGGTACCAGGGATCGAACTCAGGTCCTTGTGCTTGCAAGGCAAGTGGCCGAACCACTAAGCTAAATCCCCGGCCCGTATTTCTTATTTTTGAGACAGAGTTTTGCTAAGTTGCCCAGGTTGGGCTAGAACTTATGATTCCCCTACCTCAGCCTCCCAGAGTGCTGAGACTCCAGGTGTGGCCACCTCGCCCAGCTCCAGTTATACTTATTTACAATGTACACCTCCCACCACATTATAACTGCACTGCCACTGGGCTCCTAGCAACTGTTTCTCTTTGTGCATGGTCCAGCTAAGCCCTGAGTGCTTTTTGATATTATTGGCCCTCCCTGAGCAAACAGAGGGCTCAGAACCAGGGAATGTGTTCTCCCACTTCCGGGGGCCACTTCCGGGGCGGACGGAGGCGTCTGCAAGGCCTTGCTCCCCAAGGGAGATTTAAGCGTCTCTCAGCTCCTGGTGGCTCCTGGTGTTCCTGGGCTTGTGGCTGCCTCACACCCACCTTCTCATCCCACTTCACACAGATACACCTCTCCTCCGTGTTCCTGTCTGAAATTGGCACTGGTTGCTGCAGATTCTTAGCAGCAGCTAAGATGGAAATGAGTCAGGGTTTGTTTGTTTTTTATTTTTGCAGTACTGGGGACTGAACCCATGGCCTTTGAGCTGAGCTCATCCCTGGCCCTTTTTATTTTTTGTTTTGAGATAGGGTCTTGCTAAGTTGCCCAGGCTGGGCTCCAACTTGGGATCCTCCTGCCTCAGCCTCCCAGAGTGCTGGCATTACAAGCGTGCACCACCACAGCTGGTACAGACATGGTTCTTGAGCCTGCTGACCACAGTGACCGTTGTCTACCCTCTTCTTCAGGGCCCTCTGAAGGGGAGGTACCTGTACCACTGTGAAGATGTTACCAGTTGGCTGAGGGCTCCTGCTCAGTGCACATAGAAACCAGTTGGCAAAGTGTGGCTCTTTCAGTGTTAACAGCCCTGGGCACTGAACGCCAGCAGCTCCCAGCTCTTCTGGAGCTAGCAGCCCTCCTTGCCATTTGGAGCCAGCAGCGACCAGCAGGCCTCGGGAGTCTTCCCACCACCGCAGATGGCAGCTCCTGGCGATTCCTCCTTGCTCTTGGTTGTTCTCTGCCGCTGCCACCTTCACTGCGACAGCCCGGGCTCCTGCTGGCTTTTGGTCCCAGGAGCCTTTGGTGTTACCGGCTCCTAGTGTACCAGCTCAGTACACGCTACTTCAGCTAGAAATCACGAATAGGAGGAACACCCATCGGAAGAGGCTTTTCGGGGCTCAGGATGCAGAACAGGGGAGACAGCTCACCGGCTGAACCCCTTAAAGGGGTGGGGGCGTTGCTAGAAAGGGAAAGGCGGGCTTGAGCATGCTCAGTGTGAGGTTTGTGTGGTCCCAGGGAGGGTCGGGGACCCCTCGTGGACCTGAGTGAGTGGGCTGCGGAGAGGCTGCAGGCCACATCATCTGGGATAGGTCCGGGACTGATGTCTGGGGCGGCCAAAGCAAATGCCTGGAAGAGGGGTAGTGGAATGGTGGAAGAAAAATAAAATTACTTTTTGGGGAGCATCAGGGACTTCTCTCTTGCCTCAAAATCTTCCTTGCCATTCTTATAAGGACACCTGTCATTGGAATTAGAGACACTCCTAAAGCCAGGATGATCTCATCTCAAGATCTTTAACTTAGCCAGCATGGTGGCACACTCTGGGAGGCTGAGGCAGGAGGATCACAAGTTCAAGCCCAACCTGGGTAACTTAACTAGACTCTGTCAAAATGCAAAAATAACAAGGAGCTGCTGGGTATGTACCTCAATGCAGAATGCCCTGGATTCAATTCCAAGTTCTGAAAAAAAAAAAATCCTTGACTACAAGTGCAAAGACCCTGTTTTCTTTTTATTATGTATTATTTTTTAATTTTTATTTTTTTCAAAACCCTATTTTCAAACAAAGTCACATTCACATTCACAGGTTCACGTGTTTGAAGGTCAAGGTCAGCATGCCACAGGTGCAGGGACCAGAGGCTTTCTAGTCAGCTGGCCCCTCTCCAAGGGGGCAGGAGGGCTCAGGAGACCACCCCGCCCAACAGCTGGGGAAGCAGGGGAGCAGCAGCAGGGGCTCCCAGGGCTCCCAGCTCAGGACAAACAGCTGCATCAGATTTCGTGGTCCCCAGGGCTGCTCACTGCTTCCGCCCCGTGGCTGCTGCGCCTGGGTGCCCTGGCACATGGGTTCCCTGACCTGATCAGTGAGGGCTGTTTGGCTCGTACCCGCCACTAACGCCGGTCCTGAATGAAGAGTCCAGGCCTATCCAGGACCAGAAGGGCCCTCAGGACACTGCCTTCCTCAAAACCTCCTCTGTCCGGACAGGCAAATTCCACTGGGGCCCCAGAGATGGAAACCACGGTGGCTTTGAGACCTGGGGCCCAGGCTGAGCTGGTACAGCTCTGATCTGCACTCTGGTGGGGCCCTGGGGTCCTCCCTGTGGGTCCCCTTGCAACTACACACACACACACACACACACACACACACACACACTCCTAGGAATCACAGATGGACACCCTGCATGCAGGACCACAGCACAGCTATGGAAACACATCTTCCCTGCCTGTACAATGCCTGGGCTTGCAGCACAGGTGGAGACACACCTGTCCACAGGGCCAACTGGGCAGGGACTCCATGCAGCCTGAGAGGTGCTTTGGAGCACACCTAGGGTGAGTGTAGATCCTGCTCTGTAGCCTCATGCAGACTGTTCACCTTTTCAATGCCTCCTTTCTTCATCTGCAAACTCAGATGATGTCTTTCTTAGTTGCTTTTCTTGCTGCTTTTCTTGCAAAATACCCAACACTAAAGGGGGAAAGTTTGGGGCCAGGGATTTAGCTCAGTGGTTCCACCACCTGCCCCGAAAGCACAAGTTCCCGAGTTTGATCCCTGGTACCAAAAAAAAAAAGAGGAAAGGTTTATTTCAGCTCCCAGTTTGTAAAGATTTCATTCCATGGTTGGCTGGTTCCAAGGCAGGGTGGTAGGGCAGAGGAGAAACAGTCCGTGGCAGGGTAGGCAGGAGACAGCAAAGCAGCAAGCAGTAGCAGTAGCAGCAGCAGCAGCCACTGCCCCTCTCCTTTTTATCCCTTTTGGGTGGTGCCACCCACACCAAAGGAGGGCCTTCCCATTATCCACACCCAGAACAATGCTAAACCAGACAGTGAACTAATTCAGTAATTATGCATCCTTAATCCCAGCATCACACCCTTCGTCCCAGGATCACACACCCTAGATCCAGCCATCTCTAAAAAGCCCCACCAATGACCACATGTGGCTAGATGCAAGCCATAACAGTGATAGTATCTACCTCAAGGGTCACTGTGAAGGCTAGCTACCTGGGTAGATTCCAGCACACAGGAAGTGCAGTCCTTGCTATGACTCACGGCATGAACACACAGGCACAGGGGAGGCTCACACATGAGTAGAAACTTTGATAAAACTAATGCAATTGGGGGCTGGGATTTAGCTCAGTGGTTCTGCTGACTGCCTCACAAGTGTAAGGTCCCAAGTTTGATCCCTGGCACAAAAAAAAAACCAAACAAAAAACTAGCATGCAAGCCAGGCATAGTGGTGCAGGCCTGCAATCCTGAGAGGAAGATCATGAGTTCAAGACCACCCCGGGCAACTTAGCAGCTTAGTGAGACTCTATCTCAAAATAAAAGATTAAAATAAAAAGGGATGGGATGTCGATTAGTGTAAAGACCCCAAAACACACACAAAAAAACCCCAAAACAAGTGCTCACTTTGGCAGCACATATACTAAAATTGGAATGATACACAGAAGATTAGCATGGCCCTGCACAAGGATGACACACAAATCTGTGAAGTGTTCCATATTTTTAGAATGAAAAAAAAAACCCCTCAGGAATATAAGAGGCTGAAAGAGAAGAGAAATGACTAAAGAGGCTAAACAACTAAAAGAGCTCTTTGAAGATTATGATGATGACAGAGATGATCCCAAATACTACAGGAGGAGTGCTCTTCAGAAAAGGGAAAAGGAAACGAAAACAGATGAATGAGTTAGGAAGAGAGAAAAGGAAGAGCTGGAGGAAATCAGGCAATGCCGTCTGGCAGAAGGGGACTCAGATCCGGATGCAGACCTGCAGAGGATGGAACAAGAGGTTGAGAGGTGCAGGCGACCACAAATAAAGCAAGAGCCAGAGTCAGAGGAAGAAGAAGAAAAAGAAGAAAAATGAGAAGAACCTTTGGAAGAAGAGGATCCAGAGCAAAAGCCTTGTCTGAAACCACTTGAGGCCCCTCAGCTCCGCCCCATCCTCTTGCTCTGCCAGTGGCAATGCGACACCCACCTCCTGGGGCTGAGTCTCCCTGGGGTGTTATTTTTCCTCATGAAAACTCACCAGATCACCGGCAACCTGAGGGACACAGGTCAGAAACGGGATTCAGTCTTCAACTGGGTGCTTCTAATAGTCCTGGTCAGCTTAATTCTGTGAAAAGGAAGAAGCTACCTGTAGATAGTGCATTGAACGAATCTGAGAATGAAGACAGTGATAATGTACCTCGAAAAAGGAAACCAGTTCCATCGGATTGTGGTGAAGATGATGAAAATGCTGCCACAGGCACCGTGAACACTGAAGAAGAGCGCAACCATACAAAGAATCGCATTGAGAAGATCCCAACAGCCAACCCGAGCTCTTTGCTTATCCGCTGGATTGGTCCATTGTGGGTGCTGTACTGATGGAACGACGAAGCAGACCAGGGATTAATAAGATCATAGAATACATAGGAGACGAAGAAGCTACATTAGCTGATTCTGTTTGTTCACAGGTTATGGCTCACAGTTCACCTCAGACCACTTTAAAGGATGCTGCCTTGGAACGCGATGAAGAAGCAGAAGTTTTATAGTAAAAATGTGGAGATTATTGATATATGAAACAGAAGCCAGGAAAATTGGTCTTGTGAAGGAAAACTCTTTTGACACTTAGGATTCCATGTCTAATATCTTATTTCTCACCCTTTAAAGGACTTTGAATTTTTCTTTGTCTTCAAAGACATTTGTGAGATCTGAATTTTTTTTTTTTTTTTTTGGTACCGGGGATCGAACTCTGGTCCTTGTGCTTGTGCAGCAGGTGGCAAAACCGCTGAGATTAATCCTCGGCCTGAAATTTTTAAAATGTAGAAAACGTGATTTTTTTTTTGTCCTCTAATTTGTTAATGACCCATGTACTCCCTTGGTTGTAAAGTCATCTGGATCCTTGGCTCTCTTTATACTCCAGGTACAGACAACTGGTGTGTTTTATAAGATGCAGCCGCCGTACACAGCCTATCTGATATAATCTTGTTCTGCTGATTTGTTCCTTGTAGATATTAAAATGACCCCCCCAAAAAAACCCCAAAACAAGAAATCCTCACTTGCCCTCCCCACCCCACATCTGGAAGGTGGCCTTCGGGTGCTGTGGACAGGCACCTGTGTCATCTCTGGATCACACAGAGGCTGGCCTCTGTCTGACCACAGACACCCCGAAGTGGCCACTTCAGGAGGAAATGACGCCCAGCCCCCAGCTGCCTCTGCCCCCGCTCCACCAAAGGGGAAAACCCCCAAAGTGTGGCCCCCATCCTCCTTCTGTGACCGTCTTCCCCAGGGACAGTTCATCAGCACCCGCCTGGCCTGTGGGAACAGAGGGATTTCTGAACCATGATTCCAGCCTTGTGAACTCAAACACCCATGTCCTGGGTGGCCACACCGGACCAGGCTTGATGGGGCAGGGGAGGAGAGACACACACGGGCCATTGCAGGCCAGATTCTTCCCTCCCTGAGCCTCAGTTTGCACATCTGGGAAAGAGGAGGAGAAGAGCAGCCATCTGCTGGGTGCAGTGGCACACTCCGTTAAATCCAGCTCCCTAGGAGGCTGAGGCAGGAGGATTGCAAATTGGAGTCCAGCCTGGACAACCTAGAGAGATCTTATCTCAAAATAAAAAAATAAAAAACAAAAAGAACTGGGGATGTAGCTCAATAGTAAAGCGCCTCTGGGTTTGAGTCCTGGTACTATACTGAAAAACATAAGACAGAGGATTAGGCAATTAGTCACTGGGCGCTGGGCACTTGGACCACTGGAGGCTTTTCTGCCCAGGGAAGCTGAGGACACAGCTTTCAAGGAGGCTGACGCCACCTGGTCCCAGACGGAAAGAGGACACTTGTGCCAAAAGGAGCAGGGAGGGCTCCCCAAGCAAGGGAGCGGGGCTGCAGCCCCGGGAATGGAAGCCAGGCCAGAGTGGGAGGTCACAGCTGCTGCAGAAAGCAAGCCCAGTATCTGGAGCCGCACTGCAGTGTGAACTTCGCCTGCGCAGCGTGGGGAGGGGTGAGAGGCCAGCGCCTGCCACACAGCGTCTGAGGTGCACTCTGTCCTGTGCTTCGAGAATTCCTTTAGTTCTTCTGGGGGCCAGCTAGACCTGGCTGTGCAAGAGGGCGCATAAGTGCTTCCCTGACCTGCCACGTGTTCTGTGTCCCTGTGGGAGATACCTCAGAGACCCACTGCCAAAATGGTGCTTCAGATATTTAGGAATATTGTGCACACCTGTAGAGCCAGCACTCTGGAAGGCTGAGGCAGGAGGATCACAAGTTTGAGCCTAGTCTGGGCAACTTAGCAACTTAGTGAGCCCCATCTCAAAAAATAAACAGAGCTCAGTGTGAAGGCCCTGGAGTCGGTTCCCAGTACCTTAAAAATAATAATAATAGATATTTAGGGCTCAAGCAAACTCATTATATGATAAAGGATAAATATTTTTAGAGGAAATGCCTCGCCATAAATAACAAATAGAATTCAGGAACATCTTAAAAAGTAGCACTGTGAAGGGGTCCAAGGCTTTGCCAGGGCTCCAGGCACCCCGGGAATCCCTGTGTCCTGAGCTGGCCTGCTTCTGGCCTGGGGAGGACCTTGTGGTTTCCGTTTGCAGCGCTGCCCAGACAGCAGGCACCTCGTGCCAGTCCCCTGACTGCGCTTCGTGGGCAGTGCGGGCCCAGCACGAGCTTGGACTCCCTGGTCCCTGTTTCAGAGGAAGGAGGCAGGGAAGGGTCGGGGCCAAGGAACACCCTGCCCTCCTGCCCGTCCTCCTCCGGCACAGAGCTGAGTCTCAGGACGGCCTGGGCAGTGGGGCTCTGAGCTAGGGCTGGGCCTGAGGTCCCTCTCCTCCAGAGGCATCTCCTGGAACAGGGCCCTTCAGCTGCCTGAGCTGTCCTCTTCCTCATGAACATATCTTGAACAGGTTTCTGGTGCTGGCAGTGGACAAATGTCATCTCACTCAACCCCACACATCCTCTTGGGAGGAGCCAAATAACACTTCACCCATAAGGAACCAAGCACAGAGAGGCCAAGGGACTGGCCCAAAGTCACACAGCACAGGGCCTAAGTTCGGGATGGCCGCTCTGCTGCCTCCGAGGAAGAGCCAGAAACCTGGGGGAAGAGGACAAAGAAATGCTGTGCCACCCTTGGAACCCTGTTTCGCTCCTTGCCTCTACTCCCCACGTTCCCCACACTTGGAGGGCACTACCAGCCACCAGTCATCCCAGACTCCCCCAGCCACCCCAAGCCTGCCTGAAGCGGGGCCTTGCCATGTAGCCAGGCTGGCCTTGAACTCTCGGAGTGCAGTGACCGAACGTTTGTGAATCAGTGACTGGGTGAGTAAAGGAGGCCCTCTTGATGGCACTTGCTGAGCGGACCGGGTCACGGAAGCGTGAAGATTTGGTGACTTCACCCAGGCCCGCAGGGAGTGGCAGCAAAGACACTGTTAGTGTGGACAGGAGTCACAAGGCACCCTGACCTGCCTTGTCACGTTCCTGCTCTTGGCCACTTCGGCCTGGGCAGGGCGCCCACAGGTGGGCCAGCTGGAGCCCCTTCCCTTGGAGCTGGTCTGGGCCCACCCCAGCTCCTGCTCCATCACCATCCTGTCCCCGTCCCTGGCTGCCTCCCGGCCTCAGCCGTACCAAAAGAAAAAAAAAAAAAAAAGACCCAGTCTCAAAATAAAAAATTTAATAAAGGGCTGAGAATGTAGTAGTTCCATTTGAAGACCCTGGGTCCAAACCCCAGTGCCAAAGAAGGAGGAGGAGGGGAAGAAAGGGGAGGAGTTGAAGAAAGAAAAGAGGAGAAAGAAGAGGAAAAGGGAGAAAAAACACCCAGGAAACTCCTTTATCCCAGGACAAGTGGTGACCCTCTTGTCCCCAAAGCCTCCTACCTGCCATGCTGCCAGCTGTCACCGCCTCCCCCAGCACCTGACACTGGGAGCTGTGTTTCCGGGAAGGGGCCATCCTTTGTCAAGGGTCCTGTGTGGTCAGCTTGCCCTTCCTTCTCTAACCGTTTCTCACTCTGCCCTCTCTCTCCAGGGCCAGCGGGCCCCAGAGAACACCGAGGAGTCAGGATTGTCCACGACCCGGGATTTAGTCCACGGCAATTCTCAAGCGTTCTTCCCCGGTGGAGCCCTGCTGCTCTTCCCAGTATCCTTTGTTGTATGAAACAGTGGGACAGGAAATGGTGGCATGGTGAGGTTTTTAATTCTTCGCTGGTCAAAATAAAAAGCTAGCCATCTCATGTCCACCCTCCAAATTGTAAAATAAACTTTTACTTTTATAATAGTTTAGATTTGCAGAAAAATTGGGAAGATAGAAGCGAGTTCTCATATACTGTCACCCAATTTCCCCTCTTAGCTCCACCTCACGTGAGTATCCTGCAGTTGTTACCAATGATGCACAACACTGGTAATGCGAAGTGTGGCACGTGGCATGCATGAGCCCTGAACGGGAGGACACAGGCAGGGCAGCAGAAGCACAGGCTCTCTGACCTCCTCCCGCTTCCTCTCCCCCGCTGAGGCAGCCTGAGAAACTAGGGTTCCTCTTCCCTGGGGCAGAACACAGAAACCAGACCTTCTCCCCAAAGCCACAGGGCCTGCAGCTGGCACTCCAGCCTGCCCGCCTCCCTCCCACCTGGAGCTGGCCCCGGGGGAACTCTTCTCTTCACCCACCGTGTCTGACGGGGGGTCCTAAGACCCTCACCCAAAGGCCCTGCCACACCAGGACGAAGGAAGGAGCCTGACCCAGGGGGAAGGAGGAACCCTGGCCGACAGTTCACACCCTGGGTCGAATCACATTTCCACATGGTTGTCCATGTCCTGTTGGATCTGAGCATTGAAACAATTTCCCCAGGGTCTCTGGTCACATTCAGGAAACCTCCTATCCTAAGAGTCTAGTTCTGTAAACCTGTTCTGCTTTTCCCCTGTTAACCCGTCTGTTACAAGAGTGTCAGCTGTGACCCTTAGAACAGGGAGGAAGGGGTCATACTTTGCTCCCCCTACCGTATATTATTAAAGGCAAAAGTCCACACCTTATTCAGATCTCCTTAGTAGCTGCCGAATGTCCATCACCCTGTTTCAGGATTCCCTCCAGGAGACCAGTTAGCTGTCCCGTCTCCCTGGGCTCCGCCAGGCTGTGACAGTGCCTCAGCCTTTCCTTGTTTCGAGTCACCTTGGCAGTCCGGAGGACTAGTCCTGGGGGTGGGGGATAGCACATTGCCGGATTTGGACTTGCCTGTGTTTCCCTCGTGTGAGGGCTGGGGTAAGGAGTTCTGGGAGGAAGACCTCAGGGTAAAGTGTCCTCCTCTTCTCTCTATCCGGGGCACACCAGTGTGTGACTCACTGCTGTGGCACTGACCTTGATCATCTGGCCAAGCAGGTGAATTATTTGGAAATCTGCTCGGGAGATTCACTCCTACTTCAGTTGAAAAAAAAAAATCACTGAAGCTCTAGAATCTGTAGACTCCAGAGAGCAAGTGGGACCGGCCAAGGGACAGAGGCCCCGTGTGGGTTCCAAGCCTGGGTGGGTTTGCGTGTCACAGGAGAGGCTGCTTTCTGGGAGAACGAGCTTCCGCCTTCTCACAGTGCAGACCAGGCTCACTGCCGTGAAGTGACAAGCGCCAGGTCACACGGTTTGCCTGCAGCTCTCGGGCTTGAACCACCTGCTCCCCCGCCCCGCCGCCAGCCCCAGGCTGTGCAGCCTGAAGCAAACCCCACACATAGGCATGGGGGAAACGCCACCCACCGGGACCTCCCCTTCCACCACGGGCTGCCACCGACTAGGAGTCTCACTGATGCTCTGGAACCCCCGCGGAGAAAAACTAAAAGGTCAGGAAGGGCTGTGGAACACTCGATCTGAAGGACGCCCCCCCCCGCCCCCCGCCCATGCCTCCGGCTGAGGACCGGCTCCTGAGGGGGGAGCTGCAGGCCTGGACCCTCGCTCCTGACCTTCCTGATGCCTCGGGTCCACAGACCAGCGGAACTCCGGTTCCCAGGCAGCATCTCCAGAGATGCTAGATCTCCCTGGGGGAAGCCTTACCGGCTCTGGGCTGGGGAGTCCTCCTCTGTAAAGTGGGGGTAAGGTCTGTCTCCCCGAGAAGGCTCAGGATCCTGCATCCAGCCTCCCGGGGAGGGGGTGGGTAGGGGCTCAGCCGGTCACGACCCCTTGCCCTCCGCCTGCGACAGCGGCGACCCCTGCCGGCTGGGTGCCTCTTGGCGCCTTCGGCGGCGTGGCCTCGGCTCTCTGCGCCCCCTGCAGGCCATCCGGCGAAGGGCGGCTTAGCTGAAAGCTACCAAGAGGGCGGTCAGATGTTGGGTTCTCGTTCCCAGCCCTCTAGGATGGGCCAAAATCGGGCCTTTAGGCCCACGCCAACCTCAGTTCCAAACGCGACTGCAGCCACTTACTAAGAGAGCTTTAACAGTCCTATGGAAACTTTCAAAATTTACCCCAATGCTTTGTCATTTATAAAATGTGAAATGCAAAAATTTAAAAAAAATTTTTAAAAATAAACGCTAGACGTGTGTGTGTGTGTGTGTGTGTGTGTGTGTGTGTGCATAAAACCCTTGGATAAAACAAAAGTGCACATCTGAATGTCCTGGCTCAGGAAATCATCACAAAGAGAACACACTCCTGAAATTCCCTAGGACAGGAACAGAAAGCCCCACCATGCTGCCCCATAGTAACTACTCCATCCTCCCTCTGCCACAAACGGAGGCCCAGTTCCTGAAGTCTAACATTCTCTGCTCTCTTCAAAAGATCATTAATGAGGGTCCCAGTGTAGAATCCTAAAAAACAAAACAAAAGGGCCAGGGATTTAGCTCAGGGGTGCCATGGCCTGCCTCGCAAGTGCAAGGTCCTGAGTTTGATCCCCGGTACAAAAACAACAGCAACAATAACAACAACAACAAAAACCCAGAACAAAAACAAAACAAAAAGCAAATAAATACAGCATCCTGGCAACCTTATCAAATGCTTTCTCTGTCTCCGCCCTGTGCCCCCCAGCCGGCCTGGCCTCTCTGCTGGGCCCTCTTCCCTGCCTGAGAAACTCCCTGGTGCAGCCTCACCCCCTTCCCCACTCTCTCCTCTCCTGGCTGGAGCTTTCATGCTGCAGAAATCTGTCCCCTCCCGGTTCTGCAGATCGGAAGCCCAGACCCAGGGTGTGGGCCGGGCGCCACCCTCCCTTAGGGCTCTGGGGGAGAACCTTCCCTTCCAGCCTGGCTCCTGCTGGCTGCTGGCCATCCTTGGCATCCCAGGGCTGGTGGCCGCATCACTGCAGCCTCTGCTCCAGCGTCACAAGGCTTCTTCCTGTGTGTGTCGCCAACTCTTGCCTTTCCTCTGTGTGTCTGTTTTCTCTTCTTATCAGGACCCCTGTCATTGGATTAGGGGCTTCATCCTGCATCTTAAATTGCCTTCATCCTAACTTGATTACATCTGCAAAGAGTGAATTTCCATATAAAGTCTCCGTCTGAGGTTCTTGGTGGACTTGAATTTTGGGGAGACCCTGTCCACCCCAGTAGCTCCCTTGAGCACTTTACTATGGAGTTGATGCAGATCCTCCCAGGGAAATGCAGGCTGTCTTCCAGAAGGGGCGGGAGCAGGGAGCTTGGCTGCCACTCCAGTGTTCTCTGCGGCACTTAGTCACACCGGAAGCCGCCCATCTCCATGCCAGGCTCAGACTCCCTGCTCTCCTCTGACATCCAAAGGACAAGTGACAGATAAGCACTGGAGGTGGCCTGGTCCCCAGTGCTACCTACAGTGATGGAGGTGGCTAGGCCTGTGGGGGCCCCAGTGCAAACTTCATGGTCATCAGAGGAAGAAATGAAGGCTTAGAAAGGGGCAGATCTGCCGAGGTCACACAGGGTGACAGGGCCAGGCTGGACTTGGAAGCTGCAGAGCCCCAGGGTCCCTGTGTATTTCCAGAGCACTCACACACTCATGCACATAAACAGTCACACACACACATGCACACACACACACACACATACTCAGCCCCTGGCCAGTGCTCTTCCTCACCTAAGCACACTGTCCCGCCACCTGTTAAACCCATTTCCTGGCAGGGTCAAAGAGGAGACAGAGTCAGAATTTCTCCTCATGTGAACCGTTCCTGCTATATTAATTTCCTGTGGCTGCTGTAACAAGTGACCACAAACTTGGTGACTCTTTTTTGGCAGTATCAGGGTTCAAACCCTGGACCTCGTGCATGCTAGAAAGCGCCCTATCACCAAGTTAGCCCCCAGCCTTCAGGGGCTTAAAACAACACTCACTTCCCTGGCAGGATTCCATCCTGTGCATCTGTTCTCTGGGGGCGGTAGCTGTTTATTTCTGTCTGCGTTCTCTGCCACCTAACTGTGCGCCACCACTCTGTGGAAGATTCGATGGATATGAACATGAGCCCCCTGAGGCCCCAGAGCTATCTTTTTGGTTGTGAACTAAAGGCTGACAAAGATTATCACTTTAAGGTGGATAATGATGAAAATGAGCACCAGTTGTCATTAAGAATGGTCAGTTTATGGGGCCGGTACAAAGGATGAATTGCACATCGTGGAAGCAGAGGCAATGAATTACGAAGACAGTCCAATTAAAGTAACACTGGCAACTTTGAAAATGTCTGTACAGCCAATGGTTTCCCTTGGGGGCTTTGAAATTACAGCACCTGTGGTCGTAAGGTTGGAGTGTGGTTCAGGGCCTGTGCATATTAGTGGAGATCACTTAGTGGTTGTGGAGGAAGATGCAGAATCAGATGAGGAGGAGGAAGAGGATGTAAAACTCTTGTTGTTGGTTTTTTGGGGGGGTTTTCACACCGGGGATCGAACTCGGGACCTTTTGCTTTCCAGGCAGGTGGCGGCACCACTGAGCTAAATCCCCAGACAAAACTCTTAAGTATATCTGGAAAGTGATCTGCCCCTGGAAGTGGTAGCAAGGTTCCACAGAAAAAAGTAAAACTAGCTGCTGATGAAGATGAAGATGATGATGATGACGACGATGATTTTGATGATGAGGAAGCTGAAGAGAAAGCACCAGTGAAGAAATCGATACAAGATACTCCAGCCAAAAATGCACAAAAATCAAACCAGAATGGAAAAGACTC